ACCCGATCGGGTTTTCGGGTGGGTTCGGGTTATGCTCACTCCTACTTGGGTACCGGCCTAGACTCGAATTTAACCGGATCGGACTTTGTCTTCTCTTACCAATGTTCAGGACCGACTGATACGTGACTGAAACCAAACCGACCGATTTGGAACCGAAGAGAGACTCGGTCCACCCTAATCACATAAAACTAGTGGTGGACTCGGGTCGGGCCACCCGGCATGTGGCCCCGCCCGGCCCGGCCCGCTACTGTGCGGGACCGGGACCGGCCCGCTACTGTGCGGGACCAGGACCGGCCCGCTACTGTGCGGGACCGGGACCAACCCGGTTCTGAGGTCCGGTTCGGGCCTAGGCCCGGGGGGTAGGGCGGATTTGGGCTCGGGTCCCACATTTGGCGAACCGGTCCGGCCGGGTCGGGCCCGGGTCCGGGCCAAATTGATTTTTTTTTTTCATTTTTGGGGTTCCACCCGGGTTGGGCTTGATGGTTAGGAGGGGTTTGGGGGGTTTGGGAGGGTGGGGGTGGGGGGGGGGTAGGAAAGCAAAAAAAACCCAAACCGGAGGTCCGGCCCGGACCCGGACCGGACCCAGTGGCTACCCGGGCCGGTCCCGGGTCCACCAATCTTGAACCACCGGCCCGCCCGGGCCTAGGCCCGACCCGGCCTGAATCCCAATTTGATCAAAGGACATTTTTAATGGAAAAATAAAAATTTAATGGAAAAATAAAAATTTAAGAAATCATAATGCAGACCTAGAATACACAAAAGCACACAACATAATGTGCTTAGTAAGCAAATACTATCACAACATATGGGAGGCATTTCAGCTCCATCAAGCATAGTTAGTTAAATACGGTACGAGAACTAAACGTGGTTTAATACGTATGTGTTTTATTCGATAACTTGAACAAAATATATGGTCAAAAATTAAGCAAAAAATACGTTGACTTTTATAAAACATGTAAATATGTATACATGTATAATACGTTATCTCTTAGAAAAATTCGGGTTAAAAATACGGGCCTTATTTTGAATGATAAAATTATTGTACTAGTTTTTAGAGCATAAAACACATATAGTACGTAAAGGATAATCAACATACACACACATTCAAATATAATATCTCATTACTCCATCAAAAAATGCGTTCATAATAGCATAAGTTCATGACAAAAAAAGAATAATGATTAAGTCCAAAATAACATTTAAATTATATACTTCATAAAATAACATATAATAAAAAGAAATAAGAGTGTACACATATTGAAGCATCAAATCACATTATACATAAAAGAATAATTCGTAATTGCGTAAGTCGATGACAAAAGTAAAAATAGTACGGAGTAATTAAATCCAATACATAATTTTGCAAAGTAATGTCAGAAAATAAGGCATAAAAACGATAGAATGAGGCCAAGTTAACATCATCATCATCATCTTTACATGATCATCAAATAACACTCAAGTTAAAAACCCATCATTTTCACCTAGATGACGGATGACATGACAGAAAGTTGTACGACTGCAACACTTATTATTGTTTGTGTAAAATTTATACTAAAAAATGTCAAGTTTAGAAAAACCTTAATTTTGATATGCTTGTTTGGAAAAGAACATCACAAATCTAATACGTAGTAGTATTTTACATTTTAATCTTTTAGGATGCTAGCTTTAGTCATCATACAATTAATTTTAGTATTTAACAATTGTATATTTTGTATTGTAACAATAAAAAAACACGAGGTTACGTGGATGAGGTTTTCTTTTTTGTTTTTAAACTACTGTTGATCTCCTATTCATTTGATGTATTCATTCAAGTGATCAAATGATGTGTTGATTTTTTGTAAAATAGGGAAAATATACGTTTTATATGGGAAGTGCAGTGAAAGTTTTTTTCGTTTTTAAACGGATCGACATTATTTTTCATTTTAAACACGTTTTTTGTTCAAAACAACGGTACGTGTTTAAAACGCGTTTTAAACACAAAAAAGCTAACTAGGTTACTGGCACTACAACTTACCTCAATAGTAATATGTGGGTGATGGATGTCTTGATCTCTATTAGAGTTGTAAAACGTGCTACGCGGTGTGGTATCTTGGTATAAACACATAATAAATAATGTAACAATATTAATTACGGAGTATGTGTTTATAGAATGTCAACGCTGATATCTCAAGAACTACAAATGTGCATAATAATAATAATAGAATAATGACACAAATATTAGTTGTGGAGGTTTAAAGGACAAAAATATGACCTCTTTTGGGTTGGACAAAAAACGGATTTAAATAATAAAAAAGCCCATCCCTCTCTCTCATCTGGAGTCCATCTGCGTTTTTTCCGCTTCTCTTCTCCTCCATCGCATTTCTTCCGCTTCTATTCTCTTCCATGGCGTTTCTTCCGCTTCGCTTCCATCTGCTCTCAGTCCATGGCTCTATTTGCATCATCATCTCCGCAACGCATCGCCTCTGCAGGCTGCTAGATTCCGCCGCCGCCGCCCTATTTGCTGCTAGGGTTAGTGGCCTTCTTCTTCGTCGCTGTAAATCGTCCCCTTCGTTGCAGAGCTGGGGCTTGGGCAAGTCGCAGAGGGCTAGGGGGCTGAGGTGATGATGGGTGGTGATTGTTGGGGGTGGCTGCGAGTCGCAAAGAGCAGGGGAAGGGGGTTGGGGTGCAGGGGAGGGGCTGGGGTGCGGGAGAGGGGGTTGGGGTGCAGGGGAGGGACTGGGGTGCAGGGGAGGGGGCTGGGATGCAGGGGAGGGGGCTAGGGTTCAGGGGAGGGGCTGGGGTAGCAGTGGAGGAGGCTAGGGTTGGGGTAAGGGGTCGTAGGCTATCTCACGCGATGGCGGCGGTGTCGAGGCAGTGGGATGATGGTTTCCGGCGAAAATTTTGATGGGGAAAATTTGTCGGAAAATTTTCTGGCGACATAGTGACACGTTTTGCGGTACAGTGACATCTAAAAGTGACGTAAAAATCGGTAGTGACATTTCAAAAGTGACATAAAAATCTGGTAGTGACATACAACAGTGACATAAAAATCCGACAGTGACATAAAAAATGACAGTGACATCATATTTTCCAAATATGTGACCTTCTTAGTCACATTTTTGTCTTTTTTATAAAAAATGGTCACTTTTTTGGAAATTGACTTTAGTTTAGTAATATTCAAGGAAAAAGCCCTAATAGAAATAAGGGAAATTGCCCAAATTTGGAGCAAATGACACTTGGAATTCCAAAAATAGGACTAGTATGTTTTCCTTCCCGAAATAGGAATTATTACTGTCATGTATGAAATATACTGTCATGATTGAAAAATACTATCATTAATTATAATAAATACTGTCATGTTAAATGCACTGTACTGCAACTATTTGGCAGTCACAGCTACAAGATGACAGTAAATATTGTCATGTTAGTCCTATTTCGGGAATAAAAACAAAGTAGTCCTATTTTGGAATTTCAAACTTCAATTTAAGAGTGAAAATTAATGACATACACATTTGAGCCAATTATTATCACAGAGAACATATTGTGTTGAGTTTAGGATGTTGGGTGAGGTTGTGATTATTAAGAAAAATATCACTTTCAGATTAGGATGAAGGTCCACTACTATTAAAGAAATCTATTTATAGTGCACAACAAGAACATTTGGTTGAATTATTTATTAATCCCTTTCTCCCGTAAGGTAGGATATGTACACTTAGATTAGACATGAGCTTTAAGAGAATAAATGATACTTGTATAATATATTTGTTGTTCAAAATTCTAGCTTAAAAAAGAAAAGAAAATGTATGGATAGATCTAGATTAAGTAAAAAAGTGCATCGACGGCTAAAAAGATGAAAGGGAAAATGGTCATATAGACCTCGAACTTAAATAAAAGGCTCTGTCAATCCGTTGCCATTTGGGGCGGTTCCCGGTGGAATTTTTGATGAATTTTTTTGAGCATTTTATTAATTAAGTCTAGTTTACATATAACCCTTATATAAAAGGCTCTGTCAATCCGTCGCCATTTGGGGCGGTTCTCGGTGGAATTTTTGATGAAATTTTTTGAGCATTTTATTCATTAAGTCTAGTTACTCATACCAAATTTAAGCTAAAACTTCAATCGGGAAGGCATTCAAATGAATTCTTGAAAATAACTGTGCCGTTAAAAGCGCAGTTATCTTCAAGAATTCATTTGAATGACTTCACGATTGAATTGTTAGCTTAAATTTGGTATGAGTAAACTAGACTTAATAAATAAGATTCTCAAAAACTTTCATCAAAAAATTCCACCGGGAATTACTTCAAACGGTGACGGCCGGATAGAGCCTCCTATATAAGAGCTTATGTGACATTTTTATGTAAGTTTGAGGCCCTATTTGACCCTTTTTCCAAGATGAAATGAAAAAGAAACCAACTTAGAGCATTTTTGGTAACCATGTTTGGTAACCATGTTTTTCGGTTTATCAACCAATTTTTCATTAAACACGAAACTTTTGATTTTGCGCGTTGAATTGTGTAATAATAACAAAAAGTAAGGTTTAAGTTACTTTACCTACTTTATTGACTAAGTTACTGTAGAGGATCATTTTAACTATTTTACATATAATTTTTTATTTATTTGATTAATAAAATATATTTTAAATGAAATTTTATCATAAATTAGTGGAATCAATCACTTCAGCCACAATTTCATAAATTCCGCCAGAATGAACCGATTCGGTCAACTTTCATATTACCAAACAGACTCTTAACGTTCATATTTTTAAGAAGACGCAAAAATAAAGTGTAGCTTAAAACTTGGTAATATCAAGTTAGAAAATATCCAATGTTCTTGCGACAAATAGAAAATATGTGTTTATAATTTGTTTAGTTTCATAATGTGTGCAATATGAATTGCCCAATTAATGTAAAAATAATGCAATTTAGAGATCGTTTGATAACACTGTTTTTCGATTTATCAGACTTATCAACTTGAGATGAGTCGGTAAAAACTTTCTTTTTGGTAAATTTTTAAACATATTTTTTACACTAATAGTTTAATTCAAATTGAAATAAGAATTGAGCCGAGAATATATAATAAGATCATTACAAGAATATATGAAACATATGAAATGTATGAAATATATAATAAATCATATTTTATCGTAATCATCTCTAATTTACATTGCCCATCAGAGATGAATGCGATATTTATGGAACGGACATTTACTAGCCCAAAACATTAACAGCTCGACCCGCTTCATCAATAGCTAATTACCCGACCAAACCCTAATCATACTCTAACCTAAAGTAATTAATTAAAGTAGCTTTCGTAGATACTTAATCACCTCGAATAGCTACTACTACTACCTAATAATTGACAACAAAAATAGCGATTAACAAGCAATTAACAGGACGAATTCGAGGATAAAATCGTGGAGGAGGAAGTCCTCGGAGACGCCGCCGTCGTGGCGGCTTGTTTCAGGACCACCGCCGGTAAAACGCACGTGCTTCTCCGGTCTTGTTCATTCACCAATTCAGAAGCGAAATTGTCAAGTTTTTCCAGATTTGAAGCTTGGGCCAACTTCTTGCCTTGGAATAAGACCGATTCCACATTCTTCTGGTTCAGCATTTCGTCTGCCATGGCGGATTCCGATTCCGATTTCCGATCCTTCTTCTTCCCAAACGGTCCCTGGCCTTGAATACGAATGTAGTTGCTGTTACTGCCGGACTGGGAAAATGCCATCGATACCGCCTGGTCCACCTGTCCATTCCAATAGATAATTAATTATAATGTCTTTTTAAATTGATTAAATTTTTGTAGTTTCTGCAAACATTCCAGAGGTGCATTGAATATGGATTTTAATGGGTAAAAAGAAAAGAACACGTTTCACGTGATTACTATTCAGTGTAAAAAGGTGAAAAAATTGAGTTGAGAGAAAAAGTAGAACAAAATAAAAATAAACATAAATAAATGCTAATAAAAAATAATGATTATTTATTACCATGTACAATATCAAAATAAAGATTATGTACATTTTTAACAATGAATTTACTTTTACTAATACCTTAATAAAGAGTTCTACAAAAAACTTAAAAATAGAATACAATAGACAAAATACACAAATAAGACTATTTATATTTAATTACCAAATAATGACTTATTTAATTCTATTAAAATTATATTCAACTTCCTTCATTTTTTTGGAACATATACAACTTCCTTCATTAGAAATGAATAATTTATATTTAAAAAAATTATAATCTCATTTTTACAGTTTATCTATGTCTTAATAGTTTTTTCACAAATAAAAACATGAGAGGTAAACAAAACAAAATAAGAGAAACAAATATGGAGCAATATTTTAGTTAACCCGCTAAATAGATATACTAATTCATAAATAATTCCATTTTATGTTTTAGACACGGAAAATCATATAGAAATTTCCCTAAATAGGAATAAAAACGTTTTGAAATTCCAAACCAGGAGTATCATATTTTTTATTCTTTGAATAAGAATAATCTGCCAAGTTTGGGAAAAAATGTCATGTTTAAAAGCGTTTAAAAGCCTGTAAGTGTCAAACTTGGCAGAAATTTACTCCTATTTAGAGAATAAAAACATGATAGTCTTATTTTGGAATTTCAAAACTTGTTTACTCCTGTATAGAATTTACTAAAAATCATACGGAGTGTCATATTAGTAAAATATGGATTGTCACTAAACACATAAATAGATCAGATTATTGTCCATATTTTTATATTAATAAGAAAGCAATTGTATTATTCTTACAAAATGTTAATTGATTGTTTTAGTTTTAAACATAATAAAAAGTTTAATTTAGCCAAAGGCATACCATGTCCGAAACTCCACATCCAACAATCTTAACGAATGATGACGGCGTTAGATTCACGGTGCCGGAGTCCGATTCTCCGTTTCCCAAAGACACTACCAGCAAATCGTTGACTCCAACGGAGAAGGGAAACTCCTGCTTGTTATTGAGGACGTGAGTGATGGCGGCCGCCGTCGGGTTATTCATGGCCACGTCACCTCCCACGGCGGTCGTCCTCGTCCTGCCGTCTACCGACCTAAGCTCAAACGCGCGGTGAGCTACGGTGGCGCCGCAAACATCGGCCATCAGGAAGTCGCACGTGTCCATTTCAAGCGCGTCGGCGCGTGAGAACAAGAACGGAGCTCCAGTGGTGAGGTCGTAGCAGGGGATGAGAACGGATTTCAGAGTATCTTTCAGCGTTGACTCGCCGAAGACTTTCTTGAACAGCTTCGACGGCTTGAACGCTCGCCGGAAAACCCCACTCTGCTCCGGCTTCGAAATCCTCTGCCCATTATCCAACACGAATCTGAGAGCTTCTCCGGCATTCAACAAGGGGGACCCGTCCTTCCCGCGCGTGAACAGGAAACCGGCGAGGATCCCTCCGACGCCGGAGCCGGCGACGACATCAAAGAAATCGGCAATGTGGGCATTCGGGTTCCCGGATTTAGCCCGAAGGGCGGCTTCGAGACGGACCAGAGATTTGGCGGCGAGGACACCGCCGGTGGATCCGGAGGCATCAATGGAGAGGATCCGGACCTTTCCGGCGCCGGGAAATGATGACATCACCGACGGAGCACTACTCCTCTGGTCGTTGCACCCGAAAAGAAACTTGTTTTCAAGAATGGAAAAGATCTGATTGGTGAGGTTGTCAGCCTCAAAGGTGGAGTCAAGCATGGAGATGGTGGAGACGGCCGCCATTGTAGTAAGGATCGGAGAAGATGGAAGAGAGTATAGAGGTTTGATGAGGTGATGAGATACAAAGCTTTTTGTGGGTGTGAATATATAGAGGGGAAGGTATAGCGAGGCAAGCGTGCGGGTGAGATGAAGGTGTGGGGTAGGGCTGTGGACTGGGAGAGAAGGTAGAGTCTAAATAGGCTTAGACTGAACATTCCTGGGAAATGCAATGGAAAGGTGGCTTTCAACAAAGGGCTTTCAAATGGCTGCGGCTGGACTTGAGGCGTTACTTGGATTTTAGATAGACCCAACTAACCCTAATTACTTTAAAACTAATCAAATTAGAATAAAAATCATCAGTATCTTGAATCAATGTGCAAAAGTATAGTAAAATAGAATCAAGTAACACCACATCTTACGGTTGGTTATAATAGGCCAAACTTAATACTACCTCGGTCCTATTAGATTTTACCGGCTTTCCCTTTTTGGTTGTCCCAAAAAACTTTGTCACAAAGTAACTACTTTGTGGTTCCATACATTTTTCTTTCACCTGCACAAATCTCAACCACACAATTTTTACTATTCTTATTTCTAACTTACTATGCACTTGGCAAAGTCCATCGGGACGATGGTAGTATCTAGTTATGTACACATTTTGGGCATTGGTGATTTTGAATATGGGTTTTGACATTAATATTACTAAAAAGTACAGAGTAGATAATAGATAAAAAGATAGAATTTCTTTTAATTTGTAAGAATGTGACTTATAAACGTTACACTTGCTAAATTATTCTTAGTGACCTTATGTGACAATGAATTGATGTAACACAGTGATCACTCTCGCAGTGATCACCATCACAGTGATCACTACCGCAACCACAATGACATTGTTAGACATAGTGGCACCGCCTAATCCCATTGACCAAGCCTCTACAGTACGAGTTATACCATTAGACTCCAAAAGTGACATATATTTCCCTGCTACTAACATGAGAGACCTATCTCTTCCCACCTCCACAACGCTCCCAACTACTACCTCCTCCACCGCCTACCCTAGCCTCACCTAGCCTATTGTTAATTTACCACAACCCCCACCTTGCTCCCAATCGTAACTGCCCCGCCCCGCCCCACCCTCACATCGCTTATACCTTAGCTCCTCAATCGAAGCACCCCATTGCCACTCAATTTGGCCACTCAAGTTTCCCCTCTTTGCCACTTGAATTCGTTGCTCGGATTCACCTATGTTACAAGTGTTCATGGTCATCGCGCAACTACAATTTGACATCGTCACTGATCGTTGTGAGTCGTTGACCATGCCTGCTGAAAATCCACATTTCACTATCCACACAACATGGCAGAATGAGAAGTAAAAGAAGAGTGCAATGGGATGGCGAGGCGACCGTGACAAACATATCAACCGACGACGATAGGCGTGGAAGGACGACGGCGAGAGACGCTGACCGACGATGAGGGGCTGGGGAGTGGGCCCACACAAATGTCTAGGGAGGAGCGATGAAGATGGGAGCAGGGGATGAAATCACAAAGTAATGTTTTTGTCATTATTCCATTTGAATATGGTGTCAAACCCTTGTTCCAAAAGGTGGAATCTCCCACCCCAGGAGCCCCCACCCCGACCCGACAAGATGGTGGGGAGGTTAGTCACGGTGACTCAGTCAGTAGAATGGCAGTAGGCCCATACACCCGTGCGCACCAGAGGCCCAGCCTTATTTCAGGTTCTGTGACCTCCACCCGGTCGCTGCGGGGATTCGAACCTTGGTCCATTGTTCCAAATCTCCCACCACTCGACCAACTGAGCTACCCGTGCGGGTTATGGTGTCAAACCCTTTTGTGATAAATAAGTAATCACACATAACACCTTAACAAATTCTATCGATTTTGAAAATGTGTCTTAATATTATGATGATTGAACCTAACACGCTCCCAAGATCTCTAAATTATATAAAAACATTAATCCAATTTGATAATTAAATTACCGAAAATAGTTAAGAGCACGAATCTTAACTAATGATGCAACTTCATCTTTTTAATCATTACAACCCATTAATACATAGTGTGTAATCCCAAAGCCATACTGCAATGAGCCATTGAGGTTGATTCCCTCTTTTTAAGTACAATTATTAATGAATAAATCAATATTCCTGTGTGTGATGATGATTTGAGATTTGGGTGGGAAATCCGGATGAGGTGCTTTGACTGATACCAAGGCTTTTCAAAAGATTAGTGTTTGACTAACATATAAATCAATTCTTAGATATTCGATCGCAGAGTATAATTATATTTGTTCGTGCAAATTATTATTGTTATTTATTTTATTACTCCGTACAATTTATTTTTGGGACTTTCCCTTGACCAAACATTTATCTTCATGATAATATATAAATCGTGTACTTTAGTCGCTGTGTACCAGTGCTTTTACTTAAGTTAGGTTTTATCCATTTTTCATTACTCGCTATATCTTTTTGATTGAATAAAGTGATTGAAAAAATAAAGATATTAATTGAAATTTGAGTATGCATTACTCTAATAGGAAAATAAGACATATAAAATGGACAGAGGAAGTATTACTTTAATAATAGTTTGAAAAACTAAAACTAATAAAGCTTGAGAAACATTTTTCTTGGAATTTTATCAATTCAGGACTCGAAAGATCAATTCGGGATCTAAAAGATGAAATGTATCGATATATGACCTGAATGATGAAAAGCTATCATTATAGGACCTGAATGATTTAAAATTATCGATCTAAGGCATAAGTTGTCATGAATTTTATTAATTTTTTTATTTTGAAATTTTAAATATCATTTAGTTTTATTAAACTAATAAACTTTTGTAAAAACGAGTTTATAAAAAATTAGCAATGGAATTAATAAAAACTTAAATAAATCAAAACCTATGAAATGTTAAGTCCTAAATTGATAGTTTTCCGTCATTCGAGTCGTATATCGATACATATCATCTTTCAGGTCCTGAAGTAATAATTCATCTATCTTTCGATTCCCGAATTGATAAACTTCCTTTTTTCTTTTACATTAGACGTCTTAGAAGTTATTTATGCCAAAACAAGAGTAGTAAACTCGATACGTAGTATTATAGTCTTTGCCTTCGTGAGATTAGTGAGTCACAATGTTGAATTTCGATCGTTCGGTCATTTTATTAGTAACACATAGCTTGGTAAATGGATTCTTTGTCGCAACCCGCACGGATAGCTCAGTTGGTCGAGTGGTGGGAGATTTGGAACAATGGACCAAGGTTCGAATCCCCGCAACGACCGGGTGGAGGTCACAAAACCTTAAATAAGGCCGAGTCTCTGGTGCACCCGGGTGTATGGGTCTACTGCCATTCTGCTGACTGAGTCACCGTGACTAACCTCCCCAACATCCTGTCAGGTCGGGGTGAGGGGCTCCTGGGGTGGGAGATTCCATCATTTGGAACAATGGATTCTTTGCCGCAAGAAAAGGTCTGAGTCTCTGAGATATACATAAATTGAATCTGATGACTTATAAAAGTCAGACACCATACCTGACTATCAAAGCCGGCCAGAAACTCCAAATCTCACAGTTGTGGAGGGTTTAATTTCTAAATTTTAGTCCCACCTTTATGCCTTGTTAATAAAGTTGTTGTTCCTCCCAACAATAAAGAACAACTTAGTTATATAATTTGAAGTTGCATTTAATGTGAGAAAAGCTTGTTTACTCTAACATAATCACATATATATATTTGGCATGCATAAGTCCATTCCTTCTAACTCTTATACTATTTACAAAGTCCTTAGAAACTTCTAATTGTATGTTTGACATGTCAATTTTTAGAGTTATGCTAGAGGTACAAAAACTTTTACAAAAAGTCTTACAAAAGGGGTATGTGGCATCATCACATTATTTAACACATCACATTTACAACACTTTTACATCAATGGTAATTAGAATAGCCAAATCACTTGTTTGTAAGTTTTTTTTTGTAAGTGTGTTTGTACTTCTAGCATTTTTCCAATTTTTAAGAGCTTTTACAAAAATAAAAGATTTTTTTTCCAGATGCTACAGTGAGTAGCATCTCAGATAAGTCTGTAGCTTCTGGCATTAATCAGTCCTAACAGCTTGTATACCAAACAAAGCTAAATCAAACAGTCGACTTTTTATCAAACAGCTGCTACCTTTTTCTTTCAAGATCTTTTCAGTCACTAAAAGCTAACAGTTACTAAAAAACTTATAAAAGTATATTTTCAGCTAGTTGTGCCAAACATATCCGTAATAATTTAAAAAACACAATCCCATATAAATTGGGATTTTTATCCTAACAGCGATTTGGTGCAAAAAACAACCCGGGATTAATTTCACACGTACGATACTAGCTCTCATTTACAAATGATTATATCCAATCAAAAGCCCAAAGACTCACTGTCCATCCACTTGAATTGTTTGTATCATCTAACCGACGCTTCTCAACAAAAAGAGATGGGCGGTGCCGTCCCATGCGGTGGTAGCCGTATACCGTTCCAACACCCTTCGTCGCCCCCCATATTGCTTCTTTAATTATATCATATGCTTCATTCTGTCTTCCGATTTACACAACACAAACTTATTTACAATATTAATAATAATAGAAATAATAATAATGGTAATAAAATAAATAATATTATTACTAATAATATGATTACTAAAATATTATACTTCGTATATACATAGTATATTACTCCGTATATGATATGCTAATGAAACCCATCGCGTCTCCTTACCTGATTGTCCTCCCCGTTTTGAACACTCCAAGCCACTCCCCATTTCGTAATAATCTCATGCCAATCCCTTATCAAACGAGATCAAATCTAACTTAAATATTAAAGTGTTAGCTATACACGACTTAAAATAGTTCTCAGGGTGGATGGTTTCACATTTTGGAAAGTTTTGTGTGTCTCACATTCATTAACCTTTTTCTTACTCAACCACAGTCATATGTTTCACTTTATTACTACTTTCTTAGACTCCGATCCAAGTCAATACAGTAACTATTTTATGAGACGGAAGGAGTACTATATAATACATTTTCAGTGATATTGAATTTTGTCAACTTTTCTTACTTTAAGTAATACTCCTTATGTTCTATTAAACTCTTCGGCTTATATATAATATAATGTTTTTATTGT